GGCCTGTCGGGTGCGGTGAATACGCAACGGCGTCCCGGGTCACCGCCACAGGCAAAGGAGGAACACCGCGGTAGTTTTAGCCGGTAAGAGTCCGGCACACCCTCCCGTCGTCCCCACGACATGGGAAATTGTTACTATAGAAATTGTCACCACCTCATTGTAAGAATAATATCAATTTCAACAGGGTGAAGTCGCGAGCAGAGCTAGAATAAAAATGTAAGTACTTAATATATGCCGTAGGCGTAATATATCTCAGTAGCATCCAGTGCAATGTGCTAAATTGTTAATACAGTTACGATTTACTAGTGTGTACGCACTTCAGTTGTTTACGGCTCTTTATTAACACGTTTTTTTTAACTGATAATGTTTTTTTGAGGTTTAATTAGTCAAGTTGGTTTGTTTCATTGTTCTTTAATTATTTTGCTACAGTTCCGTGACGTGTTTCTATAATTAAAATAAGGTTATTAATATTATAACACTTATGTTATTTCTCGGAATTTAAACAAAACTTCGTTTTACATCGTCTTTCGCCAGTGTACCTTGTAACCACAGATATTTGTAACACATAATTATGCCTTATGCCTAATTATGTAGAGGAGTCAGGACTTGTTAATGATTACTACTGATTCTGAGTTTTTATGGAATAAGCCGGTAAACGAACAGACGGATCACCTGATGGTAAGCAAACGGCGTCGCCCATGGACACCTGGAACACCAGAGGCGTTACAAGTGCATTACCAGCCTTTTGGGAATTAGGAATTTGTGGATTGTTGGGGATTCAGGGATTGGAGAGATTAGGGAGAGGAGGGGATAATTAGGCTTTCGGTAACCTCACTCACACTACGAAACACAACGCAAGCGTTTTTCATGACGGTTTTCTGTGAGGCCGGTGTATCACTCCGGTTGAGTCGGTCCATTCGTGCCGAAGCACTTATTAATACAACCACAAAAAACCAAAAACCGCTCGACCAAAAGCCAGTCAAATTGTATAACAACCTTGTTTCAATTAACTACAAAAAAAAAGAGAGAAAACCCCATAAATTAAATAATTAGAGACCACCATATCATCATTATAATCAATCGTACTCAAACATAATGACTTGTTAATTAATTTATTAGTAGATATAAGTTTAACAAACTACTTTATACTGGTCACTTGAGCGAAGAGGTGCTTGGGAATTAGGCACTCAACGAAATTGGCCTTGAAAATTAAAATACTAGCGTTGTAATGTTACCTAACGTAATTGCGTGAGTTTCTACAATTTAAAGTAACTACTAAGTACTTCCGGTAGATCTTGAGGTGCAGCGACGTGCTGCTATGTACTACAGTGCGAGACCTAATTTGTCAGCAAGCTTTCTAGCACAACGTGATAGAAATAAAATTGCTAGATTGTTTAAGCCAATAACGGACGTCTGGGATGAGCTTATAACTGAATGGCAGGGTAGATGGGCATCTTCTATTAAGGGCCGCCACCTATATCATTCAGTTCTTCCATCCGTGCATGAGCGGCTGGAGAGGACATGGTTGGAGGTGGATCACTGTGTTGCCCAATTTCTTACTGGCCACGGCAACTTTAAAAGCAAATTGTTCTCATTTAAACTTATTGATTCACCATGGTGCCAATGTTCGACAGTGGATTTGCAATACGAGCAGTCGGCCCATCACATACTCTGGGAGTGTGATCTCTGGCAATATGAACGTAACACTATGTTGAATAATTTAATTGTTTCGTCAGGTGTAGCTTATTATACGGACCTTGTGGAATCTAGAACAAATTTCCGTGCGTTTAGGCGTTTTTGCCATACCTATTATTGGAAGCAAGTATAACAGCTCACACATAGGACCCACTTAGTTTTTTAGTCAAATTTCCGTGGTGCTTGGCGACTGGGCTTCACCCAGTTGTACAGTCTCTTCTTTGTGCCTTTAGGCTTAATTCATTCTGTCTCCTGCAGAAAGTCACCGAGGGAAGTGGAAACTTTTGAGTTTTTTTCTTCTCCTCTTATAATATCTTCTGATTCATTTCGTTGCGGGAACCAAGACAGTTACTCATGTCCCTGGGACGCGCCGGACTTCAGTGTTCCGGTGTTTTCATGGTTGTATCTACTGTAGATCCTGGCTTACAGGAGTTGCAGCGGTTTTTGGGAGGTTGTGGCGGGCTTGTCCCATAAAAAAAAAAAAAAATTTAAAGTAACTAGGTAGTGTTTGAATTAGGTAATTTTACTTATTTTGCATGTAGGTTCTACAGAATGTAAGATTCCCAGGTCGGACAAAGTACTACCGAGTTTTTAAATAATTCTAATAATAAAGGGAAAAGAACAACAATTTGTAGATCGCACAAAGAGATCCTACGTACGGGAATTGATAAAGAAAATGATATGTAGGTTAGGTACTGTAACGATGTCTCCATTTTCCGAATAACTATTTAACTGTTCTCAACTTACATAAGGTTCCAGCCTCCAGCCAGACATCCTTACTAATATTATAAATCTGAAAGTGAGTTTGTTTGTTTGTTCCACCTTCACGCCATAACTACTCAACCGATTGCTTTGAATTTTTGCAGACGTAAAGTTAGAAGTCCGGATTAAATAATAGGGTACTTTTTAACCCGGAAAATTTTGATATTCCCGAGGTAAAACCAAAGTATTGGTATAGATGGCGCTGTGTGTATTGGTATATGTCACATAGGCTACTTTTTATTCTTTTGTGACGCGAGCGAAGCCGCGGGTAAAAGCTAGTAGATTATTATCTAGCTAATCTGTTGCCGACATCCATGACACCGATAAACCTCTCCTTCCTATCCAGTTTCCCGGAGTCCTGGTATTCATTTTGATTGAAAAAGACGAGTGTCATCCTGTTGTTCAACTTGTGGGCTCATACCTACACTACACATAGAACATAACATAACGCCTTTTATCCCCGAAGGGGTAGGCAGAGGTGCACATTATGCCACTGTACAATGTAACCCACTTTTCACTATTTATTTAATAAGGGGCATCTATTGCCATATACCGGGCACAATTCCAGACTCGGTGCTACTACTGAGAATTATTTTAAAAACCCAGTAATATTTTGCCCGACCCAGGAATCGAACCGGAGACCCCTAGCCTGGCAGTCGCACTTGCGACCACTCGGCCAACGAGGCAGTCTACACATGTCATACGAGTGGACAACGAACATTATTTGTTTTTTTTTATTATGTATTTGATGGGCCTCTGCTGGTGACTGACTGCCTCATTGGCCGAGTGGTCGCAAGTGCGACTGCCGGGCAAGGGGTCCCGGGTTCGATTCCCGGGTCGGGCAAAGTATTACTGGGTTTTTAAAAATCTCAGTAGTAGCACGGAGTCTGGAAAAATGTGCCCGGTATATGGCAATAGGCTCACCCCCTATTACATGGGACTCATAACATAAATAGTGAAAAGTGGGTGTTACATTGTACAGTGGCATTAAGTGCCGAAATGTGCACCCCTGCCTACCCCTTCGGGGATACAAAGGCGTGATGTTATGTTATGTATTTGATGGGCCGACGTTTGACCACTATTATTTACGAACTTATCTAAGAACGTTATTTAAGAATTAGAAGGTAAGGCAGTTTTTGTATGATGTGCAATGTGTACTTTACCTACGATCCTACGTAGGTAGGTACTTATGTATCTCTAAGTACTTGAGCTATTTTTTTCAAAATATAACATCTTATATCTTAGGAATCTTAGGTAGATACCTAATGAAATGATGATTACAAGTTTACAAGTAGGTAGGTAGGTACTTGTGACGTCATTTTAATTTAATGCTATCCATCTAACTATGTCTGCTCTTCAAGACAAGAGAGAGACAAGACAACGATTTTAAAATAAGAGAAAAAGAAAGAGACCAAATAATTGTGCATAGCAACAAAATAAACTCCAAAAAGTAGTTCAAATTGCGAAACATCGCATTCCTATTATTATTTTATTCTCATAAACAACACACAATGACACAACAGAATAATTTAAAGCCGTTGAATAACGAAAAATATTAATTTCATTTCTTTCTTGTTACACCCTTTTATCTCAAATCCCGGAGCCATTGCGCATGTCACGTTGGTCTTGCCAACCGAACGGCAAGGTCCCTAGAAACGCGAAGGGACCCAGTAATGGGGTCATTCACCGTGACCAAGGCTACAAACATTACAATATTTATTGCCATTTTTTTTTTAAATTAAGAAACGCCGCAACGGTAATTTGTAGATGTATATGTATCGATCATAGTCTTTGGTTTACCTACTTTGTATTAATTGTATTTTGCTCTTTTTAGTATGTAAGATTCGTAATTACGTAGGTTAAAAATCCAGTGTAGATAATTGGTAACACATAAGTAAATAAAATAAAAACAATAAAAACCGAGCGGGGTAGGTTAGCTATTTACCTAATTTTCATCGCGAAATATATATTAGGTATTATGATTTTGCAGTAGGTATGTAAGTTCCTACGTCCATATTATTATTTTGAATAGAGCAAATGAACATTAGAAAACAATCGAGATTTAAATTGTTAATTATGGTAGGTATGCAAACGTTTGTGCCTATAAACTACAGTAGCGATAAAAATAGTTTAACATTCGGTTTCGTTATCGCTACGAATACCGATAACTATTTCGTTTTTAAAACAGAAAGTGTCAAAATTATTTTACTTCTACCTCCAAACTAATACCGAGATTATCTAAAATGTGTAATTAAAACATAAAAATACTTTTATAATCGTTAGAAATTATATCATTAATTTTCGGATGTTGGTGCTTTGTTTTACGCGACGTTTTCGTAATTAACCGGCAACCTAAATCTGACTGCAAATTAGGTCAGACTATTCTCAAGCATAGATTTTGGCAAAAGAATTATCATCGGGCCAATTCGTTAGCATTTCCCAAGTACCAAGAACACGTTTCGTAAATATTATTTCATATTAAACTACTTTAAATTTAATTTAATTTTGCAAACAACAGGTGCGAAATTGCGAATCAAACTTACCTGCAGATGTATCGGGACTTTTTTCACTGGTGCGTTGGACATTTTCACAAAATCCAGTCACTGCACTAGCACAAAGTTTATTAATAAAACGGGTGTAGGCGGTACCGCGATTATAAAATTTCGCAAATCTAACACGTACCACCCGGCGCAACGGATTTACACTATCGACAAATGCCTACTGATTATTTTCATTGAGTTGAGTTTACTATGCTCCCCTCCATTGCGCACGCGTAAAATTCGCCCTTCGTTTTGGTTGGTTGACACGAATTTAGAGAAGCCATTCACTGAGGCTCGTCGTAGTTTTCTGTCAAACACACAGATGGCGTTAAGATATCACAACAATAAAATCATTTGTCGTTGAAAACAAAAATAATACATCGAAAACAATATTGAATAATAAAAGGCTTTATATAATCAGCTTTTTTAGTAAATAAACTAAAATTTATGATTTCAATTTCGAGAAAACGTTTTAATAGGATGTTAATGGTATACATAGTGCTGTCAAAATTTTGGAATGAACATCTGATTCCTAAACTAGATGGCGCTGATATCAAAAGTACAACCCCGATCATTACATTGAGTGTACCACTGTACCCGTCGCACAACCAAAACATTCAATCGAACTATGAGTCGGGCGCCAGTAATATTTCGCGCCCGAATTATTCGCGGTTTGTAAAAAAACAAATAATTAAAATAAACATTAAATGTGGAGTGAAGTGATTTTATAAGTGGTATTATTTGGACCCATGCCCTCGTTACACCTGAAACCTGGAATCACGGTAAATATTTTTACTTTATGCTGCCGAAAAATACGTTATATTTTTGAGCTTTATGCGTAAGCGTGGAATTGGGAGTTTAGTTAAAAATATACGGCGTGAGGAGTCATTGTGACATTCATAGCCCATTGCCCTGCCACAGATTTAAGACAACATTAATATTTTAGTTACGAGTAACATATTTTTTACTTTTCTCCCACATCGGCGTTTGACAAGAGAGCGTTACCTACTAATAAATGGGACTCGCATAGAAACAATATTTTTTTAATTAACTAGAGACGTTTTTTTCTTTGAAATAGTGCAACTTTTTAAATTATTGCTACTTACGTACTTTCTTAGATACCGATCTACATTGCTGTTTATTACGCCAAGTAACGCAAATCGTGGCTACACTAATTTAAATTCGATTGTACGAAGATAAAATCAAAGAATTTGATTTATTATTGAATATTATCTTCGATAAAGAGATTTCACAAACCCTAATATCAAATTGTCCTTGATATTCGATTAAATCCCTTATTTTTTAGGTATTTTATGTGTTACGTTAATTTTCGCCATTATTCTTATTTAAGAACATTTTATTTTAAAAATATAACAGATAACAACGGGTGACGACAGTTTCACTTCATTTTAACACCGAATTTAATCAAAATAAAAATTCTAACTGGTCCTAAATGCAATGTTCAAATGCGTAAGTAACTACTTAGCAATATTTTGATTAAAACACGCAACAAGGTCCTACCAGGGCAACAGGCGTAGTAGAAAATATACCTACGTAGATGGAATTTTGCAAACAAGAAGGGATAGGTATTTACGCGATTTTTCAGATAAATAGGTACTCAAAATGGATAAATACTGAGTAAATACTGGGTGTTTATCCTCTTTTTTGGATTAGTACTCGAGTGAAAACGGACAAAGACTGGATATTTATATATTTTGAGTATTTTTATAGGAAAAATCGCCCATGTCTAGTGATAGTTGATAGACTTTATATTACGATAGGGTCTGGCTTTACACAGTTAAAATTTAATATATCAGTGATTTTACACAAAGCAACTGACATGAGGTCAGGTCTCTACAACTTGCTAAGACTGGTATAGCTATTTTATAGTGTATCATCTGTGGACTGGTACTCAAGTGCATAGGTAATACTACCTACAGTTTTTTATTAATTTATTTATAAAAGGTTGGTTCTCTTTGAGACCACATCGCCCAAAAATTTAAATTCAGTCAAATTTTTCACACCAGCTCGAAACTGTTTCTGATAACTGAACATAACCGATACAAAAGAATATGTACCTCTATGATAAGAATTTAAATTAATTAAATATATTATATAAAACTCAAAATGTAAATGACTAAAAACTAAAATATTGACACTTTAAAATCGTAATAGTAATAAAAATGTTATCTTAAGGCATCCAAAAAAAACAATTAATTGTAGAAGTTAGGAAAGGTCACAGATTCGCAGACGACGGAAATCCTGCCTTGATTATCAGTTGTATCAAAATAAAAACAGAAGTGTAATCTAGCCAGGATTTCCTTCCATTTTGTCTAGAAACGAAGACAGCTATCATCAAGATTCAACTGCCTATTATTACGTACCTAATCTTGATATTAATAAAGTACCTAACTATTACAATATTATTATACTTTAATACTTTTTTTATTTCAGCACATCTTATGTAGTCTTTTTTGATATTTAATTGAGTCAAAGGCGCAACTGGCTGGACCATCAAATTTGAAGACATTTAATCTGGGGAAGATGTAATTACCTACGCGTACGCAACAACGCTGGACATATCGTTTTAAATCCTTAAAAAAATATGGCAAACCTTAAGACAGCAAGAACATAATAAATGTTTACTTTTTTTTCTCCCTACGTCAAAAACGCAACGTGGTCAGCCAGTAACAAATGAAACTTTTGTTTCTGTATCTCGTTACTTAGAAATTCTAATTTCAATCGTACAAATTAACATTTAGGGATATTTTTAATAGCGACTGTTAAAATGTCAACTAACTTATTAAGGGTAGGAGCTAAACAACCCTGTACCCCGACACGTATTGTTAAAAATAATATCTAGTGCATGGACTTTGAAAAAATGCGGTCATAGACTCTTGAAACAACGACTGTGGCACCTTGCTACTATAGACTTACACGCAGAATACACACACATTGACACAAAGGACATTTGTCGCGTCACATGACCCGTTATTACACTTCATACATTACAATGTTGCAAGTACACGCACACATAAATACACCACTGACATTTTCGTGCTTCAATCATTTCTAAGTGACATTTCGTTGGCCTTTTTTCAACGTCGTTGACCTACGGTTTTCTTTTCAAATTTCGAACAAGTGAGCTCAAAGTAATCAATATGGCGTCTATCGAATGCCACAGACAATTGCTTCTTATTTATCATGAAAAAGGTTGTAGGTCCCTAAGCTCCGGAGCGTGGAACAATAAAATGGTAATCTTTTGATTTAAATTCCGTTCATGACGTTAGAGTCTTTCATCTGAAGAGATACCTTCTAAACTTTAGGAAGGTACATTTCCTACTAGAAAGAAACCTAGATTTACGTTATTAGTTACGATAGATACTATTACTTATAGATGTTTCCTGTTATAAACTAATTAGTTAGTTAGTCTCCTGTTGAACTATTAGTCTCCTCTACAAAAGAAGGTTTACCATATTCCTCGCTTGCCAGGAGCGTTAGAAATTGTTTTTTTTTAAAGGGTGAGGTTCATCAAAGAAGGTTATTGCCCAGTCTTTGTCAAAAGCGTAGTCTTAAAACCCACATGTACATGTACATCATACATACATGCTATACATGGTGCTAATCTATCTATCTAAAGTACTACACGTTTTCCTAAAATCCCTGTATTCTGTTCGACCTTCAAATTGAGGTCACGATCACAAACATGAAAGAGATTCTTCTCCATTTATCTCAATTTGTAGGACTTTAAACAACCAGATTTGTTTTTCTCGAAGCTTACTTTGTTGGTAATTGATCTAAGTTTGGGATTTACTTTTTTGTTATTGGTATTTGCGATATTATTGCGGTATTCATAACACAATGTTTTGTTATAAGTAGTGCAGTTGTATATGGGAAAAAATCTTGGCGGACAACGTCACCCATGGACATCTCAAAACACCAAAGGAGTCACAAGTCTTCATATTAAAAAGGGAGTAATTTATTTTTCAGCTTCATAAGATCTACCCTTTCTATCGTTTCACATTGAATTAAAATTCTGTCAGATGAAACAAAACACAATTATGGAACCGAAGAAGGTTACTTGTAAAATATAGAACTATGCCCTAAATAAATATGGCGACGAAAGCAAACAACAAAAGTCAATAACCTTGATTGTTTTTAGAACCTCGCTGATAATGTTATCTATTATTTAAACAGCTTCTAATTTTATCAAATACTGTTCTTATCTCGAGTAAAACACCGGTTTCTATAGCAACCATGAAATAAATACGCACAACAATAGCCAGTAAAGTCGATTGCGATTATGAGCCAGTGGCGTACAGGGTGGCAAGTCGATATAATGCTAAGGACCCTCAGCTGGAAGGTGGACCGTTCAGAGATTTCATATGAACTTCTCTATATTTTTGATTGGGAACGGGGACCCATCCGATGAATTTGCCACGGACCTCGAAGGGTATAGTTATGCTGCTGCTATGGGTCTCCGCTATAGAAGAATAATCTGCTATAATCTCGCTTAAACACGCTTGGCAGACCGATCAGAGATCACAGTTTAAAAGTCTCTGTTAAATGTGCAGGTCTTACGAAGTTACGACACCCACAGAAAGTGTAAAGGATGAAAATGATAAAAGTATTCTACTCATCTTTATACGGTACGAAATAAAAGCGGTATGCGTAAAAGAGTGATAAAAATATGCAAATAAAGATATTGTGTCAAGGTCATGAGAAATGGATTACGGAATGAAAACGACAAAGGATTTATTAAGTCGGAGTTGAAATGTATGCTCTTTTTGACCTTTTCGCAATTACGGTTGGAGGCAGCCCTTAATGAAATTCGCCTAAATGACATTATTTATTTTTATAAGGAACGTACTTTCTTTTGTCTTATACGACTCATAATTGGTTTTGTGTGAAGGATATTTTGAAATTTGAAATGAACGACTGCTTTCTTTCATGTCAGAATATACATATGGTGGTAATTTGGCAGGAGATTCTAAACAGAACTGATCTAAATATTTTTGGAGGAAACCAATGTTCAGCAGACAACA